AAACAATAGCTCTTAACTAAACAAAGGGATTATTCGCAGGAAGAATTACAACGAACAATATCAATAGAAAACAAGCATACATCATATTGTTATAAGAACTGCGGCTTGCTACATCTGTCTACTCAAACTTTTCCACAAAAAATTATCGTAAATCACTTGATAAACGGCGAAAATCAAAGAAAATCGAAGACACTACCCGCACAAAGGTGAAAGAATCAGTCCGCCATCTGCAATGATGTGATTGGACAAATTGGTCACGTGGACCGTGTCCAACACCGCCTGGGGTGAGGCTTGCTCTTAGAATTAGCAAAAATATATTGCAAGCGCATATAGCGAGTAAATGCTTCAATATCCTTTGAAGGATTTTTATGTGAAGCCGGGTAACGTTTGGGGGGAGTGGGAATGAATTTTAGGTCTTTTGCGAACAAAGCTGTTTCGTGATCAGTAAGGATTTTTGTGGACAAACGCTTTATGTATTTATCATTATTTGTCCTGAGGTTATGGGTATGCTGATTTTTATTTGGTTTGCGCAGAGAGATCGCTTTTGACTTTTGATCTAGGATCGGGTAGGGTTAGCGTAAGAAGAGTCAGTAAAACAGACAGTTTTAATAATATTGCCACTCGACCCTAAACGTGTATAAATTCTCAGGTGTTGTTGACCCAGTGAAGTGATTTAGGCTCTATCAATAAGTTGTAGCCGCAGAGTCTTGATAAGAACTGTTTAAATAGTAAGACCGGTTTCGGAAATCTAAGATGGTTACCTTCGTCAGTTGCTTTTACAGTTAGTGCTCGTGGGGTTGCGAGCAAAAGAGAGTGACTTTGTGGCCGGCCGGGAAAGGTCCCTTTTTATAGGCAATGAAAGGACGCGTTGCTAGAGAAAATAACCAATTGGAAGTGTTGCATTTCAATGCGTTACGCTTAAATTTGCGTGTTCTTTTGTTAGCGATAAGCATTGGACGCAACTGAACGCATGCAAATTTGCGTGACGTTTGGTTAAACTTCACAATAGTTTTTAATGAGTGATCCCTTCGGCCCAGGCTAGCAACTTGGATAGACTGGCGTGGATAATCCGCTCTAAAACTCGCTTGATGGTATCACCGAAAGCATATTAGTTTTGTAGAGATTGTTACAAAATGAAAATAAACGCGGTGATAACATGTCAGTAAAAATCTCTACGGATTGCAGAGTTTGAGCTCTTTCCAGTTTCTTCACAACTAAGGGCCTGTTTACATGGAGGTGGGGGACCCCAGGTAGGTGAGGTAACCCGCTTAGGTGAGGTAACCCGCCTGTCCATATAATCTCTCATTTTCACTTGATCACGTTTACATGATAGGTGGGGTGACCCGCCAAGGCGGGTAGCCCGGTCTACCAGACCGGGTTACCCTCTCAGCCGGGGTCACAATTTGTCATGTAAACGTTTCAAGGTGGGGTAACCCGCCTGGCCGGGGTCGGATTCGTGATACATTAAATTCGCGCAAAATTCACTTTCGCGGTGTCTTTGCATTATGATTAAAGTTAACAATAGAAAGCTATTGCACTGACGGGTTGTAGCAAGAGCAACAAGAGAGTGAGTGTTTGCCCGCATTTTTCTTGTTTACGTGCTTAGCGACCATTCAATAATCTTGAGAAAGTGCACCCCGGGAAGGCGGGGTTGTAAGATTGCATGTAAAGGAGGGTTATTTTTTTACCTCACCTAAGCGGGTTACCTCACCTACCTGGGGTCCCCCACCTCCATGTAAACAGGCCCTTAGACTTCTTCTAGAACAGAACGACTAGGTGCCTTTCATAGTTGACTCTTTCAGTGCGTTGGATGAACATTGCATGTCTTCTGCGTTTTCTTCTTAAGAAGGGAGAATGTATTAATGCGAGCACTCGTTAAAATTTTGCGAGCAAATCGAGCAAAGGCCTTTAGGCGTGAAATTATTGCCTAATTTCACTCGTCACCATTTGATTACACACACAAATTTTCGCGCCAAAATTAAGGAGTAATTCGCCACCTATGATATTAGCTGATTTATTATTCATCGTTGTCATTTATCGCGTGAATTTCCACTGCACTTGATCGCCATATTTATAGGAATCAAGCACCATACAGAATTACATTTACTTTAACCCAAAGAAGGATTTACAAAATTTCGAGCAATACTGACAAGAAAGCGAGGTTGCCAGCAACTGTAAACATTTTGGAAGCACGAGCAAGCGAGCACTCGTTTACATTTTGCGAGCAAATCGAGCAAAGGTAAAATTTTGCGAGCAGTTAAAAATTTTACTGGACCATTCACCACCCCTATAATGTTGATTAAACGAGCAGCAGTGTTTTCGGCCCGAGATTTTAGACCCGATAAAACACGTAGTGGAAGTCATTGAACGTCTTCAAAAACATTCGTCTCTCATCGTTTAAAATTTTTGTTTTGCTTTCTCTTGCTTCAAATTTTCTATACGTTCTTCGACTTCGTCGCTAATTGTCGCCTCACGAACGTCCTCTTCTAATTCGCCATCCGCCGACATGACCACGCGATAAAACCTCCGAAAATTAACCTCCGAGAAGCTCTGAGATCCTCGCTCTGCTACCAGAAATGTTCTTGAGTAGAACTGTTTTTATACAGGACTAAACTGTAAACGACGAAACGAATCTTTCCGAAAAATCTGTTCTTGTCCAACCCACTACTACGATCTATTAGTTCTATAGCAAGAGAGAGAGAAATGGCTGCGGCCGCACTTGGCGATTTAACTGGAATAGGTTTTGAAAAACCCGGTAAAAAATTCTTCAGAACGTAACCTGGTTAAAAGGGTTTACCCAGGTTAATTTTTATCAGCGGCTGGACTCTATTTAGTCTTTCACAAAGTCATTCAATGTCGCGCGGTTTTTTTTTTCGCTCGGCAGAGTCGCTCACATAACGATGGCCTAATAGTGACTGACAAAATTTGAACTCGTATTACTGATAAGAAGAAGTTGACTTCTTAAAAGTCTTGACTTAGTTGTGTTAAGAAAGAAAAACTGAACTTGGAGCGAAAGAAGTAATTTCGAAACTGGTGTGCTTGTGTGCATGGTAAAGCCAAAATTTGGACCATTCTCACGCGTAGGCGGAGATGATCGACTGATTAATAAGGTTAACCTGCGTTAAACTACCTCGCGAGGTGGTTTGAAAAAACCTTACCTGGTTAAGAAAATCTATTGTTCATGCTTCATTTGCGTAATCCGGTTAGAACTCGGTTAAGACTGTAGAAAACGCGGCCGGACTTCCAGTTCTTTTGAGCGTATTCACTCAGGGGGCCAGCCTCCATGCAAATTTATTGGAACAACAGAAAACGTTTACATAAGAAAAGAGTTCAACTCCCACAGGATTTTCTTGGTATACCAACATGGCCGCCGTTTCATTGTTCTGGACACAAATATGGCCGCCGTGACGTCATGTGAATACGCTCTACTCTGCATGATGATGATTAGAAAGTCTCTAGGGACACCAAATTGTCACGGTTCGTTAGTACTTTGGTCCAAAGGGTTACACAGGATAAGGGGTCGTCCAGCACCTATCCAAAATGGCTCTCTGATTGGCCAGCTAGCGAGAACAATATAAATTTTTCATGGAAAAATCGTCATGTGTCCATTAGTTACTATTTCCCATCCCAATGAGACTCAATTTCATAGTTTAGTACAGCCAAGCAACTTTTTGGACCCTCTTCGTCAGTTTATTATACTTTGTGCGTATCTTCTAAGTCATCAGAACAGGTGTTGTGTGCCCTAGCTTGATGTATGAAGTAAAGTCGACGTCAGAGAGTCCTCCTTCGACGACAGCTATTGCTTTCAGTAATAGAAAAGACCGGCTGTACCGAGTTTTCCGAGTGTACCGGCTGTACAAAATGTATCAAGTTTACCGAGAAAGGTTGCTTTAGCCCTCAGATGATCTGGCTAGTTTCACACATCGTACTAATTTTCTGCATCATAATACTCAGCTCGATTAGCTTTTCAGTTATTCCGAGTAAATGTTACCTTTTTTTGTATTAATATATTATATTGTAAATTAAGTTTAACTTTTATTTGGTAATAAAGCTTATGTTGTTGTTAGTATTTGTTTTAAAAACAAAGTAAACTTTTTATGGTTAAAAAAAATGAAATTTTTCGCGTTAGAGTACATTTAAGGTAAAGGCGGTTTCCCCGCGTTTTGGCCAAGTCACTTAATTACTGCAAGAGGAAACTGTTAAGAGTTCGGAAAACTTAGGAAAAATAATTAGCAACTGCGTTTATAACTAGCAGAATCATTCATTTCTGGATGCCTTTTTATTTACATTCGACATCCGGAGATCCTACAATTGCGTTGAAGTTTCTAATAGCGAGATAGCTAGCGATCAAGCTCTCCATGGGACTCGCGAAAAGTCACGCGAGGGCAGCACGCGAAAGGAGACGCGAGTGTGAGAGACGCCATACATGGAGAGCTTGCAAGCAGGCTAATACCACGAAGTGGCTTCTTCCTTTTCATGTCGCCATCGCCGTTGTAGTAATACGCCTTTTGCATTAGTTGATCACGTGATCAACTTTCGGTTAAAACGAAAACAGTTCGCTTTGGAAAATTTGTTAGCACGAGCTGAAAGAGCATATTAAAATTAAGTAACCTGTAAATTTTCAGCCGTATATCTCAAATGTAGAGATTGCAACGGCCGCCGCAAATTAGAAGGATTTGTACGAGAAAAAAAACTTTTGCCATCCAGTCATGCTTGAATGGTTTTCCATAGAAATCCTTGTAAATTTCGAAATTTTCAAACTGTCGTGAAATATTTCCTTTAGCATAACGGGCCTCAAATCCCGTTTTAATTCATAACAGGCAATTTGACCCATTAAACGCGTAAGAGAAAGATTTGACGACAGTTTAAAAATTTCGGAATTTACAAGCACTTGTATGGAAAACCACTCAAGCGTGACTGGGTGGCGCTGTATTGTATAATAAGGTTTAAATTTTAATCAAGTTATATAACTTTTTTCCTTTTGATCACAGCTGCATTTTTTATTTTTAAAAGGATCTTTATTATCCGATGTTTTGACGATAAAGCCAGACCTGATAGAACAAATGGCGCTGCTCCTGGACAGGGAAATGAGGCTAATACCCAACTGGAAGCACCTTTCCAATGAGCTGAAAGTGGACGTAAATGTAATCAACCGCTTGAAGCATTATGCTGACTTCAGTCCAACCATTCGACTTTTTGAACATCTAGAGGATGTGCAGCCAGACCTGACCATTCAACAACTGAAACAGGCGTTTTTGGAAATCGGGAGGAACGACTTGTTTAGTCGTTTTACAAGAACAGGTTTGCCTGTCTAATTTCAGCATTGTTTTAACCCCCTGAACCACTCGAAACCACCCGTAGGAATCCCTCAGGGGGGTACTCCGGATTTCAAGTAACGGGGACAGGGTTTGATATTTTCGATTCCCGAATATTTTTAGGTAGTAAAATTTGGTAAGTATTTTTTTGGGTGGCCTGATTTAAGCAGGGATTTTCTTGGCCATTCAGAACATGATAGTGCCCACGTATCCAGACAGCGTAGTTTTGCGATTTAAGTACATCCAAATTTGTTTTCCTTTCTCGAGATTTTTAAGGCTCAGAAATTCGGCATGGGATTTTTTGGGGTTTTGATATTTGGCCCCATTCGATCATCTCTGTCACTTAAAATCTGAAGTACCCCCCCCTGGGAAAAATCCTCGTCCCTTCTACCGATTGTGACGTCATCAGTTGTAATGGTCAAGTAGTAAAGAGATCTTTTAAACCACACCAAAATGAGCACGAATTAGTCAAGGACACCGGAGAAAAAGGCAAAACCTCACGTAACTTTGACCTGAAACTTTCCATAAAAATCTTGTTCCACTACCCACATCCTTTCATTTAATCCCAAAGTTCTAAAAGCTTTTCCTACCAAAATGAAGCCTCCCAAGACCAGCAAAATTTTAAAAAAATGAGGCTACAAAAAGCGAAAAAAGTGGGGAGGAGAGAAAGAGAAAAGTAAAATTCAAGACTGCTGCGTCACTTTTAAATCCAAGAATCTCGAAATTTTGCTTTCTGTGCATGCCTGAACTTGGCAAGCTAATATTTTGCACCTGGATCAGGGCCACAAAGTGTACGACCTGTAAACGGCTTTGTGGTAAAGTTTAGCTCTTTACAGCACGACAGTGACCAGACACCGCTCGACTAGCTTCAAAACGCGCGTTTTCGGCAAAATTTCCAGGGGGCGAATGGGTTAAACTAACTCTATGTTATATGCCACATAGATGGTCATTTTTACTTATACTCGTTACTTGACTATTTAGTTTTCTGATTTATTAACGGAACGTCCAAGGGCATGGTAACCTCCAATACTATAGAAACTGGAAACCTATCGATGCAAAGGCACGCCCGCTTGCCCGCGGGAGGCAACATAGGGGAGACTCAATGGGGAAAGGAGTCCCAGACATGTAACTTGAGTTTGTGTTGGCGTGAAATTAACCACTTTAGGGGAAACCAATGGAGGAACTCCAGTAAAAATTTAGATAGAAGTTTCTTGTGTTTGAATTACGACAAACGCTTTCGAAAATAAACTTTTAAGGATTTGCCATCAGCTTAGACACGCTTTTGGTCACGTTCCAGGACCAATCTTATTTTATACTGTCGGGGGTAGAAGCGGAATCATTTGAATCTTGATATTCATAATTCCTGCCGTTTTTGCCTCAATGATTCATGATTCCTACAAGAATTTTCTTCCAGATTCATTATTCACGAAGACTTTTGATCATCTATTGACTTAACGATTTTTCTCAGTGGCAACTTAGTCTCCTTTTGTATGGTTTCTTCGGCGTTCAAACTTCTACTTCATCCGGACTCGGTATCATCATTTGGTTGGTCTAGGTATAGAGTTTCTTTGGGTAACTGAACATTAAGCACCAGGTTACTGGAGAAACAAGCGGAGTATCAGCCCCGATTACACGAATTATATAGGGGGTCCGGGGGCATGCTCCCCGGGAAAAATTTTGAAAAACTGGACTCTCTGAAACGCCATATCCTGCATTCCCTGGACCGAACGCAACTAATTTATACGTGTATTTTGTGGAGCTTTTCTCAGAGTCTCGTTATTCATGATTGCCGAACCGAAGTGCAAAAGATTCATGATTCCCTAGTTTTTGAAAGAAAGATTCATGATTCTTACATATTTTGTAAGTATGATTCATGATTTCGCTTCCACTCCCGACATACTGGTCAAAGTTTTGACAGGTGAATTCATGCGTAAAAACTATGCATCATCTTGTTTACTGTCAGGTGAACTGAAGCTTTTTGTAATCGTAAGTTTTTTACTTTTCGTGTACTTCTGTGGCGCCGCTACAAAATGAATTCTTCTGTGAAACAAAGCTGGTGTGATGGTTTGTTTATTTGGTTTTTGGTTGAGGGAAACGTCGCATTAAGTCAACGAGAATCAATGATTCCAGGCGTTCAAGAGCTTAGACGTTTCTGACCTCACTTTTTGCGTTTTGAATTCTCAGGTTGGCGTGTGTATTTATCTATCTTTATATCAAGGCATGTGTTTTACCAAAACAAGGCCATCACTTTGCGCGAGCTCTGCTTGCATTTTCGGTTACGATACTTTCGGATAAGGAACAGATTAATATAGAAATAAACAACTGTGTTGGATAATTCTGGCCACGGTTGTGGCAGGTTTAATGAAATCAAAGCTAACAGAATCACAACACAGCGATGTATGTAAACCGATTAACCTACTGAATAAATAATGGAGTGACAAAAATCCGCCCCGACCTACACAACTAAATGAGAAAATATGAAATACCGTTAAGAATAATAACCCGCAGGTACGTGAAAGGGGAGTAGGGGAGAAAGATCTTGTTCGTAATCTGACCGAGTAGATGACGAGGGACAGAGGGAAGAATTACTGGGGAACTTACCACAATATACTTACTTAGCCATGGCACCGCCCTATAAATTCATTGGCTAGATTTGCAGTACCTGGTACAGCCTGACAATGTGAGCAACCTTTCCTTGACATAAATTACATTATGCCTGGCATAATGTCTCGTTATTTATGTATTTTTATTGGTTTTACTTGAGAGTGAAGTCGGGCAAAAAAAAGCGTAATTTTGCCCGACTTCACTCTCAAGTAAAACCAATAAATAACGATAATGAATGTTTTCAAGATTTGAGACGATGTATTTCCTCGCTTTATGGGGTTTAAAAGTTAAAACACACAAACTTAAACGTAGTGGTAATAGAACTGAGTGGAGTACAATTCAAGGAGTAATCAGGCGAGTAATTATGATTAATTAGGGCTGGAATATATATCAACGTACAAAGTTCTTATTAAATCAGTTTATAGCTTCCAAGGCAAAAACATGGCTTACAACGTTTCGAGAAACTATCGGAATATGGAGCTCCATCTGCACGAACCATTTCAAAGACATTTAAAAAGTTTAATATGTCAAACTAAATTTGTCAAACTGAAGTTGGAAAACTTGCTCATTGAAGTGTTTTTTCTTGGTTTTAATTTGCCACCGTGTACCTATTTGTTAAATCTCAATGGCCAGCAACATTTGAGGCTTTTCATTGGCGGTTTACTATATAAGAGAGTTAACGTTTATTTAACGAACGACTCGTAGCTTAACCTTTGTTAGCCTGCATGAATGCGCTACACAACACTTTCCGCGCAGTTTTTGTAGACTATGAATAAAGTATATAGTCATTAGAAGGGGAAATGAACTGCATTTTTACTGTCCTATGTATGTGCTAAGAAGGAAAAAAAACATTAACTTATAGTAACTCTAAACAACCCAACCCCTTTAAAAATTATTGCTTTTATTAGAAATATATAAACGGACGCTTCGCTTTTAGACCCTTTTAGGCCTGGCTAAATCTATATATATTGAATATTTGGCATAACAGGATTTTTATGTTTCATGCCGATTCACGTGTACTATCATAAGCTTCAAGTCACGTTGCGTCTTATCTCTTACGAAAGAATATGCCATAAGTATAACCTCAGATAACAAGAAGGCATGAAAACATAAATATATATATTAGCACAGAGAGAAAGTGACCTTAGGACAAGATATTTACTCTTTACTTTGTTGTTATACAATTCAGCTAATATAATTCTTGATTACCTTAAAAAAACTTGAGGCAGGCGGAGGAAATATAGCCCTTAAAGATAAGTAAGAAAAGCGCAATAAGTAGAATAGTGTAGTATGTAGTGTTTTCATTTTTCTCGTTTTCTACTTTCCGTTCTCCTCGCGCCTTGTTTTGTACCTGACTCACCTCCGCCAAAATCGCCAGTCTCCAAAGGGGCCGGGACGTTTTTCGCCATTATCGCCAGCCCTCTGGCGATTTTTGCCAAAATTGCTAGTCTCCAAGGTGTTATATTATGCTAATGAACGTTTCGTTATATTTCATGAATATTACATGATTTCAACTTTAGAGTTTTGAACCTCGTGCTTTTCACAGCAGCCATGTTTGTTTCTTAAGCTGTATTTCGAGCTAGTCTTCTAAACAAAGTAATTACGGAAATATAACATGGCGACCACGACGTGATGAGAAACCTTCTGAGGCAATTCTGCGTGTGACGATCGTCTCGTTTACAGCTTCAAGATTTCACACGATCGAGGACCGGACGTCAGCACTATTCCTCCGAACAGATCACCTACTCATCAATCCATAGTAGAGGCTCTGCAAAGCTCTTAGGGAAAATCTCTTCGAACACTTCAGGCGAGTGGTTGTAAACAAACTTGCCGAATTTTGACCTACTTTTTATCGCATCAAAAAGTGGCTACTGGACTAAAACACTTGATGAACAGAGTGAACTTCTCACTGCATTTAACACACCCTTTAAGAAATACTGCTTTGTGCGCTTACCCTTTGGGCTCTCAGCGTCATCTGAAATCTTCTGTAAAGAAATGGATCAGGTTCTTTCTGGTGTCCCTGGCACATTTCCCTATGCAGATGATGTTAAAGTGCAAGGGTCCACAAAAGAACGTCACGATATTCACCTGTTGGAAACGGTTGAGCGAGTATGCAAAGCAGGGCTGAAATTTAAACCAAATAAGTGCTGCATCAAGAAATTGAGTGCTTTGGACGTATCATTACTCCACAGCGCGTAAAACCGTGTCCAAAGAAAGTCAAGAGCATTGCAATGCTAGCTGCTCCTAAAGATAAGCAAGAGCTACAAAGCCTCCTTGGTACAATGAATTTCATGTCAACAGGAACTAGACACCATCAAGAATGAGATTGCTAATGCTGTTCAGCTCACTCACTATGAACCCAACAAGTCAGCCGTTATTGAAAACGATGCATCTCTGAAAGGCCTTGGTGCCGTTCTTATCCAAGAGTGCAAACCTGTACGTTTTCTCAGTAAGGCACTTACTCCTGCTGAAGCTAACTACTCCAACATAGAACGGGAACTGTTGGCAGTCTTGTTTGCCTGCGAGAAACTGCACACATACACTTTTGGGCGGAAAATCACCGTAGACACTGATCACAAACCCCTACAGAACATCCTTCTGAAACCAATTAGCCTCGCTCCAGCCAGATTGCAGAGGATGTTGTTACGTCTCTCCAAATACGACATCCAAGTGGTGTACGTTGGATCCAAGAGTGTGCTTCTTGCTGATACACTCTCTCGTCTTGTTGAACAAGGCAGCGCCAGAGAAATCCCTGGTTTAGACGTCAGCATTGCACAAGTCCTGAAAATGGAACCAACCCGACTCGAATCCCTGCAAGAGGATACAAAAGCCGACCCCACTTTGGCTGAACTTACAGATCTAATCCTCACTGGTTGGCCCAATAACATGCAGGATATACCAGAGCATCTGCATCCATACTGGTGTTTCCGTGATGAATTGACAATTCTTGACGGACTCATAATGAAAGGCAATAGAGTTGTTATTCCTACAAGTATGAGATCTGCAACTCTCAATCGCCTACATGACGCACACCAAGGTCTTACTTCAATGCTTCGACGTACAAGACGCACTGTCTATTGGCCAAAACTACAGGACGACATCACAGACATGGTTCACAAGTGTGATGAAGAAGAAGCCCAGACCTCCAGAAGACAGATCTCAGCGACACGTCCAATGGAAATCCTGGTCATGGATTTGGTTGACTTTCGAGGTAAACATGCCTTAGTGACAGTTGATTACTTCTCTGGCTTTCTCACCTATGACACCCTTGAGAGCGAGACAACAGAAACTGTCACAAAAGTGTTGAACAATATCTTCAGGAAGTTTGGACTGCCTGAGAAGATCATTTCTGACAATGGCCCATGCTTTAGATCTAACAACTTCCGACGCTTTTGTGACCAGCTTGATACTAGGCACGTAACATCCAGCCCATACTACCATCAAAGCAATGGAAGAGCAGAAAGGGCAGTTGCTACAATCGAACAGATCCTGAAGAAGAGTGCCAGCGACATGGACATCACCAAAGCTCTGACATCTTACCTTGACACTCCTGTGAGTGACACTCTACCATCACCTGCTGAACTGTTCCATAATAGGCGAATCAACCCCCGTCTCAGCATGGCTATGACACCAGCGCCTCTAACTGATCAACAGAAGACCCACCTTAGCGACAAGCGCTCAGCACATCTGAAGTCATCGAAGCAGGACAACAATATCTACCTGCCAAGTCAGGCCATCTGGTTTACTGATGACAGTTCAGATGAGTGGAAACCAGGATACACTGAAGCCAAAGATATCACACCAGACTCGTATTGGATCACCAGTGGCAAGAACAATAGAAGGTTCCGACGTAACAAACATGACATTAAGCCACGCTACATTACTATCACACAGCAGCGACCCATGCCAAAGGTACCTGTAAGATACCCGGCTCACCTGTCAGATGATGATGCAGCCTCAGCAATCCCTGAAGTGCAAGAACCAGTAAGCCCGTCAGCAGATACACCGACTACTTTTGGAAAATCACCCCCTGCCAGTAACAACCAGAACACAGCAACTCCAACGAACAATCCTGATGTTGGAAAGATCAGAACACCAGCAGACCTAACACCAATGCTAACCAGATCACCCTCTGGGCGTCTAATCAAGCCCACCAGGAATCCAGACTTTGTATATAATCCTGTTTAACTTTACCAGACATTTGTGGACTGTTTGAAACCACAAAGACTGTTTCGGTTCGGTTTCATGTGAACACTTTGACATTTTGGTTTTAAAACCATCTTAAAAGGGGACACGTTATATTATGCTAATGAACGTTTCGTTATTTTTCATGACTTTTACATGATGTCAACTTTAGAGTTTTGAACCTCGTGCTTTTCACAGCAGCCATGTTTGTTTCTTAAGCTGTAAGTCGAGCTAGTCTTCTAAACAAAGTAATTACGGAAATAATACAAGGGGCCACTTCTGGCATCCAACTCAAATCGTCAGGGGCTGGCGAGTTTTCGCCATTTTCGCCATTGCATGCATTTCTGGCGAGGTTGACTTTCTATCATGAGAATTTGTTTATTGGGCGAGAAACAAATGTCCCTCGTCCGCATTAATGGGTTTGAATTTAGAGGACATGTAAAGGCTTCCCCAGGGACAAAGAAAGCTGTCCGTGTCCGTAATAAGTGGGTGTCCGAAAGTGTGGTTCAACCGTAATTAACAAAATTTCAAATTTTATCCTTTTTCTGCAGCTGCCGTCAGCGACTCTGAGTTGGTTAGTGAGGCAATCACACCACGACATCCAGTAGCTCGTTCACCCAATGGCAGTCTTTTAGATGAAATAGCTTTGAAACTCGATGTACAGTCAATGACTTTAGCAAACTGGAGCAGCTTGGCGTTAAAGCTTGGAGTGCCGAGAAACACTTTTAAACTGTTTGAAAGACGTTCAACACAGAGCCCAACCAACCAATTGTTCGAGTATTTAGGAAGCACTTGTCCACATATGACTGTAAAGACTGTAGAGGAAGCACTGACGAAAATGGAAAGGAAAGACTTGCTTGCAATTTTACACGAAAAAATCCCTCAAGGTAAGTCAAACAGCTTTCTTAGAGGACAATAAATAACAACGATTTTCCATCATGTTGACATGTGACGCTATTCGGCAAAGAAAAAGAATGTCTACAATACTTATAGCGAATGTTGCGAACTTGACTCATTTTGTCTTGTTAACATTTTAATTCAAAACATTAGTTAAAGTTTATTGTGTATTTTAAATAGATATATTATTTATGATGAGGATATCTATTTGCCGAGTTAGGATTCGAGTTAGGATTTCGAGTTGGATTTTTCAAGTTATAAGTACTGGGGTAGGGACCGGCTAGTCCGTTTTTTGTGGATTTAATCTACTTTTTGAGTAGCATAAATTAACGCCGATGACGTCGTACATCTCATTAAGATAGGATGATATCATAGTTTATTTCCAGTTGGTAAGGAACAAGTGACTTCAGAATACCCTAGGGGTTGACGTCATCAAAAATGTTGAGATCATAAGTGATATCATATCCCTCCTTGATCATAATGATATCTTGGTTTATTTAAATTGTATGTCATATCCTTATTTGGGTATCATAATGGTCAATCCCGCAATAGAAACTTCTACGTCCGGTGGGTCATGGTGGATCGTGTGGATCCACCGATGGGGTGACGTCGTAGATAATAATAGGCCAATTGAGCCTGGGTTATGACGTCGGAGACGCAAAGGATGGGTTGTGTTCGAATATAAACAAAGCTCTGACTCAAAATGGAGCTTATACTCTTTATTTCAATCATGATTGGCCATTAACAAAACCGTTCTCTCTAGTCTTAGTGTTTTGTGAGCATCTGACCTTTTCGCTTTCTCGTGAATTACGTGTGTTCTCAATAAATAATCCTTCCGTGCCTACACATTTTCCCTATAGAGATCCCTATAGTCTAACTGAGCCAACTGTTAGACTTCCTTTGTTTGTTGCGGTTTGGCGTTTTCTTTGTACAGTGGAACCCCGTTAATGCGACCACCGTTGGGCCATAAAATCCTGGTCGTAATAACGAGGTGGTCGCATTAACGGGGTCTTCAAAATAATAAAATGACTCAATGGTTTTTACGTTTGGTTTGAAAGAATATGGCCGTCATAACGAGGTTGTCTTATAAACGGGGTGGTCGTAAGGCGGGGTCCCACTGTAGATCAAAAAAGGCTAATCCTAACTCGAATCCTAACTCGAAATCCTAACTTGGTAGTTAGTGTATCTCATTTAAGATTAGATTACCATTTTAGGCTACAGTAAGCACAAACTTAGCACAATAATCATGTTGCACTATACATACATACATACACATACATACACACATACACACATACATACATACACACATACAGACAGACAGACAGACATAATTTGTAATAAGGTGTTTAGACGACCACCTTTCAAAACAATAAAAAAGATAAGAGGTTTTATAGCTTTCAGCTTTGACTAACAGAGACATTTTGTAACATGTACATTCCATTGCGTGACAAATTTGCTCGCCCATTGACAGCAAAAACTTCGTCGGGAAGAGAGAGAGGTTGCTCTGCTGGCTGTGTAAACCAACAGAAATAGAATCCTCAGAAACCTGAGCTAGAGAGTTGTTGAAAAACCCCCAATAACAACAACGTCGTCGGTCCCCCTTGGCCGCCGAACACACAGAAGTATGTGAAATACAGTAACGTATATTTCAGACAGCATTTTTAAAAGACACTGCTCTTGAAGGGTCTATCTGAGCAACACTTTATTCGCTGGATGAAGATTGCAGTGCTAAAACAAATTAAAACAACACACCAGGAGCTGAACAGACACAGTAAAACAAATGAGTGAAGGAAAAATGAAAAGAAACAACGATATAAACAGTCTGACCTCTGATGATAAACTTGTGAGCACACAAAATACCAAGGCCGGATTGTCCTCTTAGGGGAACTTACGCCCACGGTTACAAAAAGCCTGTCAAGGGATGTATACTAGTCGCTTTTGTAACTAACAGGGAAGTTACTGAACTCGGATACGGAGAGGTAATTTTTATGCGAGATTCTGGTCTTATAGGGGGCATTGAATGTGGTTGGAAGAAGAAGAAAATAACCACCCCCGTCCCCCCAAGTCGAACCCAGAGTTCGTAAGGGGTCTATGCTAGATATTGCATTTACTACTGTCAGCCTGTAACCCATAAGAGCTCCTGCCTGCTGTTATTTTACGAAACGTTTGGAATGTTTTCTGAAAACGCGTTCTAAGTGTGGTGGAGGTTACTACCGGTGCAAACTTGTAATTGGATGCGCAGGGTTTTTAACAACAAGAAGCTTATCTGATTTGGAAAAAAAGGGGGTAAATGCTTCCATGTTTCCACCATAATGGTGAATGAATTGCCCCGTAAATGAAGCAAAAGGAACGCCTTAGAAGTTTAACCGGTGTGAAGGTGTGGAATCGACAATATGAGGGAGAGCAATATCACTCATCCGTGCGTTTTTTTCTTATGGATATATGATTCACAAGGACAAGCGTGGCTGTGCAGCTCATGCTGAGGTATCCGGTGGCAGCTGAACATTAACCTGCATAAAAGGCGTTATTTTTTCGCATTTTTCAGGCAAACCGAGCGCAGCGGCGCAATACAGTCACGATGGGGGAAGGTGCCTCTCGAAAAATGCAGAAAATAAAATGTGATAACTGTTATGCAGGCTAGACACGTAAGCTGGGCCTCGGCCTTTTCGTTCACATGGAGTAATGGCAGCAAATGATCGGAAGAGGCCAGGAAGCGGGAGCCTACAAATTTCACTCGGCGGGAGGGGTAATTTCCATTCTCGTACTCCTCTTCTTCATCTCGCTTAAAGGATTTCGGAGAAGAGAACCCTGCTCACTTTTCTGTGTTCCTTTCTTCTGGAGGTAAAATGTTCTGTACTGATCATTTTAATTTTCAAATTATGCGAAATTGAATTTTCAATCAAAAGATTTGAGAGTGGAAAATACTTTTTATTAGTTTGCCTGAACGGATCGTGCTTTGCTCTCGGCTGAACATATCCCCACCTTTCACCTCCTAAAATAAAACCTCTTGTTTAGTCACTGACGGCGTATGTTTGCGCGAAGTTTGCTCGACGAGAAATACATTCATATACTAATAGCAGACAAATGGAAGTCAAATAGATGAACTGGAAAACACAATGGTGAGTTTAAATTGTAAATTGTTTGCCGCAATCCCTTAGAACGAGGGCAAATTGAAACCCAAAATTTAAAAATGTACCGCGCTGGGGCCCGTGCTGCAACGCTTGTCTCTCATCGATTTTACTTTTACAGTGGAACCCCGCCTTACGACCACCCCGTTTATAAGATCACCTCGTTATTACGGCCATATTCTTTCAAACCAAACGTAAAAGCCATTGAGTCATTTTATTATTTTGAAGACCCCGTTAATGCGACCACCTCGTTATTACGAACTGGATTTTATGGCCCAATGGCGGTCGCATTAACGGGGTTCCATTGTACGACTTTTTCGCGCTGCCCGTGTAATCAGATAACAGCATAAATTTTCTAATATCATTTGTTCTTCGATAAGCGGTTTTAAGTCATTTCATAGGCTTCCTGACGAGGTTTTTGCTTTAAAGGGGTGACGGAATTTGTCACGCAATGTAATGTTGCAAAATGTCTCTGTAAATTAGCCTGCGTCTACTCCCTTTTTTTGGAACTCGGCTCCGCCGCCAAAACTTTAATCTCGCACCCACACAATATCGTCAGCTACGCAGGCTACTGTAAATCAAAGCTGAAAGCTATAACGTAGCCTCCCAGGCAGACGCTTTTAGGGTAGCTCGTTTTTGGTTTGTGGGGAGGGATGAAAAACGAGCTCCCCTAAAAATGCCTGCGTGGGAGGCTAGCTATAACACCACTCACAATTTCTTTGTTTTGGAAGATGGTCGTTCAAACAGCTTATTACAAACTTATAAACTTTTAGTATTAAAAGACATATAGGCTTTTAAAAATAAAATCCGTGTTGTGGAACCAACCGAAGTTAAAAGGGTTGTTTTGATTGGTTTGGTTGTTTATTAAGTCGGTGTTGACGCATTTTTAGCACTTATCGGTATAATGAGTTGAAAAATCAAAAGGTAGCAGTTACATAGGTGTATATTATCTGATATTCAAGCGCTAAGAAACATGTGGAAGGTTTTCCAGGGCAACTTTATGGTATGGAGGGAAACATTTTGCTCCGTAAATTGATTTCGGTGCCAAAATAGCCTTCACGTTTCCGTGTCTCTACGGGACACTTTCAGCGGGCCGCGGAAAATTTCTCACACAACAAAGTATAAAGGATGTGCTCTTAGACCATTATAGTTTTGGCCTCAAATGTCATATACCAGTGGGCTTTTCTTGGTGTAGAAGTTAGCGAAAATTAGCCTGGTCGCTCAAGCGCTTCAAGTTGGGTAACTGAAACGGCCATAAATAAGCCTAATTTGACAGCTTTTCGAAAATAATCTAGTGTTTTAGAAAGAGCAAGTGAAGTGCTATGACATATAAAAAGTATATTGCTATATGTTAACGCGTTTACCAGCACGAGCGACAAGAAAATGCATCATTTTTGACAATTTTCAAACTTTCCTCGATTTTGAAAAAACTCAAACGCTCTACGATCTTTTAATTGTATTTTGGAACATAACTCACTAAAGGCCTTATTTGGGCAAAATATGAAGAAATTTTGAAAGTGGCGCCGGATTTTCGATATTTACAGAAACTGGCTCTTAAGTGCTTAAATTGGCCTTTCTTCCATATTTCACAGTGTTTCCTGCAAAAAAGTAGCCAAATCCTTCCCCCCGCCCCCCCAAGGAAGATCATGGGAGCAAGATAAAAGTAGCCGGGCTGCTCGGTCAGGGGTTTCTAGAGAAAATTCAGAATGGTGGACGAAGATTCGCTCCACTGACTTTAGTGTCTCGGGTGAAGATGGTCATTCAACAATTTTATTGGCTCTTTACATTTTGTGGTTTTAATTGAGGACAAAGTCATTTAGCAACGCTGGTTACGCTACAAAATGGCGCAAAAATGCTCAGAAATCTTACCTTTGTTGTACAATTTTCATATTTTAGCATCGGAGCAAAAACAGTTTTTAAGTTTTCGAGCAGCTTTTGACCAACTTTCGTCACAAAAAGCAACTTTTGATTGTTTTTTGAGCAACGTTTGAGCAACTTTTTGAGAAATTCCAGGAAACTTTTTGGATAATCTCGAGCAACTTGTCGAAAGCCCCAGTCCACGTTAACAACTTGGCTTTGTTGTGAAAGGTAGCTTCCAAACCAGTCGCACGTAGCACTGGACACACCTATACTCTGAAGCTTTGACAGGATCAAATCGCAACGTACGCTATCGAACGCCTTAGACATGCCTAAAAGGACTACTACGGATACCTTTTGTCGTCCATGTTCTTAAGGATTTCATCTGTGAAATGAAGTAAACCAGTTTCGGTTGAGTGGAATCTCCTTTTACCACTTTGTAGTTTTGAAAGTTTTTCATTTTGGTCTGGAAAAATAACCAAAAAAAAAATTTTTAAAACATTAACTCTCTCCCTCCCTCCAAAAAACAGTTGTCATATATCCCCAAGGTGGCCGCTTTGGAGAGGTTCAACTGTAGTTATTAACAACACTATTGTATTTGCTTTATCGGGGTGAAATCTTCATAAAGGATGTCATGCCCCCTGGGTCAGAGCTTCTACAAATGGTTGCAAATAAACTCGACACCGAAAAGGTCCCTTGGGAAAAAAATTGGCTTCAACTGGCCTGTTATCTGCAAATCCCATCAGACGTGTACCGAGGATTTGAAACAAGAGAGCAGCGGAAAAGTCCTACAATGGAAGTATTTCGCTGGCTGGTGGTACATTTTCCTGATATAACGTTGATTGATATTGTTAAGGCATTGGAAAAAATCCAGCGTAGCGATGTCATTCAAATCATAACGCAGCATTTTCCAGACACAGTCAGTGAGTACTTAATTGAAAACTTTTGCGTACTTTTTAGGGGCATATCCAGATATGCACGTTAATGAGATTCACACCCTTTTTGATAGTGTCCCCTTGCCCAAATCCTCCATTAAACTCAAGCAATCTTTTTAAACGAAAGGCCATGTGAAAAGTACAAATAGTTGTCTTTTATATCAAGCAGCCAAAGTCCGCGTTGTGTTTCTGCACACAAATGTAACGGTGGTAAATTTACTTCCCACTCGCAGCTTCCCTTCAGCAAACAAAGGCTTTAGTGTTGGGGGCTTCTCTAGTTTATAAATTATGAGTGGAATCTTCTATTTTAAAATGTCATACAGCCAACTCTAAGACGGACACCTTTGGAACCGGTGCTGAGTGTTCGTCTTAGGGAGATGCCCGTCTTATAGAGGGTCAAATAAAGGGGGTAAGAAAGGCAGGGACCTCCTCTTGGTGTCCGTTTTACAGAGGTGTCTGTTAAGAGATAATCGACTGTATTTGATACATACCTGAATGACTCGAGCAAATTTTCCTGTTAACGTAAAGACATAGGATATACCTGTTGTGGTTTAGTTTCATCCCCCAAAAAAGAAAAATTAAATTTAAACCAAGGATACAATTGAACCAAAAGTGCCCTATCAACTATCAACTATGTTTGAGAAACAGACTTGTTTTCAGATACCCTGTGGGCTGAGGCCCTTAAATCCTCCTAGATAAGTAGACTTTCTGCTTTCTCAGTAGTTGGGTGTAAATTCCGTGTTGTTTGACAATATTGGTTAGAATGCAAACTTGGAATTCAGTCATCGGCTGTGGTGAGTTAAACGCAGTTAAGTGCTGATTACTTGGGAGAGGGTAAATTGACGAACGCCTTGAAATTAAGTGAGTTGCTGACTAAAACACCCTTCCACGATCTACAGATTCTTTTCTAGAGCAAGCTAGTTATCCTTTGAGCGATAACGTGATCTTTGACCAACCAAGTGCCACACTGAGTTCTAGAAGTTCTAGGAGTTCTAGAAGGGACCACGAATTCACCTGCAGTACTTTTCTTAAGCGAGGTAAGAGGTTTTCAGCAAACGTCGTATTCAAAGTTTAAAAAGAGGTTATTCTAGAGCTACGAACGAAGTTTGCATTGGTGTATCGACGTAGTAAACCCTTGCGGATGCTACGAGAGTACGTGAAAAGCATGAAAATCCTTTTATGTCACTCTTTGCCCCTGCTTTAACCACATTATCTTTCTGGACTTCTGTTAGTCTTGAATTCGATCACCTTAAGACGTGCTCCTTTGGTTGAAACCACAAACAACTGCACAGGGAACATTTGAGGCATTGTGTTCCTAAATGATGTCAACTTAGGTTGATGTTATTGTTGCTGTTACATTTTTCAGAGGACTGTAAACAGCCAGGTCATTGTGGGAGTTTGCCAGATCCTCCATATGATCTTAAAGGCCAAGAAGTTAACTGTGAGGAGATTATAAAAAGTTTGTTGTCAAACAAGGCTGTTGAGGTTGTAGCACCTCCCGGATATGGGAAAACCTCGGTCGTGGTGGAAACTGCTCATAGACTGATTGATCACCATGGAAAATACGTTGCTTACGTGAATCCTCGAGGAGTGACCTGCGTAGAAGATTTGGGTGTAACAATTATTGAAGCCCTGGGTGAAGTACCCGTTGATAACACTATCCGGGAAACCTTGCATCGTATAAGATCCCTTAGGGCCAAAAACGTGGTATTGATTATCGAAAACATTGACGACTTGTTACATTTGGAGAAAAACCTGGAATGTGAATCAGATCCACATGGTGTGGAATACTGCCCTAAGATGCGTGTAGAGAACACGAAAGAGGACTTTTTAAATTTCATATCAGAGATTGGAAAAACTAAAGAAATTTGTCTTGTCCTTACATCGAGAGAAATCAATGATTTTAGCGTATGCTTTCCCATTGATATAATCGAGTTACATCCTTTAAGCGAAACGGAATCGTCCGAACTGTTTAAGGAGCGTGACATGAGTTTAGACGAGGACACCATTAAGAAACTAGTTGATATCTGCGGTGGTATTCCCCTGATCATTTGCACAGTATTATCGATTCTTAGGATAAGGAATCCTCATAATTTAGCTCGCAGGCTCTCTGTCTTAGCACCTCGCGAACTCCTGCAAGAACTCAGCCCAGATTATTTGCAGCGTGGAAATCGCATTGATTTATGTCTTGAAGTTTGTTATCGTCGTCTGAGCGAAGACAATCAAGAGGTTTTGACGAAGCTCTCTATCTTTCCGCACAGGTTCACTCAGGAACAGTTTTATGCAGTGTTCAGTCAGTCAAAAACTGACCGTGAAAAAATGGAGATGTGTTTGAATTCCCTCAAGCACACCAGTCTTTTGCGTTTTGAACGCGAAAGTTGTTACTTTTGCATCCACCCGTTTATACGGAAATTTTGTTCAGTGCACAATCAGTCGACACACAAGCAAGCGAAGTTGACTTTTATTCGTCATTATAGTAATGTCGTTATTGCCTTGAGTAAGAAATTCCTCAGTCGCGAGTCGAAGTGCGCCATAGACGAATACAAAAGTGAAAGAGATAACATCAAAGAGGCCACAGCTTGGTGCGAGGCTGAACACCATGACCTGCCTTTAAAAGAAACAGAGTATTGTATCGAGGCTTTTATCAAAGCAGCAGTGTTTCTCGCCAAAGTGATGAGAAAGCAAGAATTCGAGTCCCTTTTCTATAAGCTTGCTCATCATTACCGCTATGATTCTAAACAGCATAGTGCTTGCTTGACAGCTGTTGGAACGAAGATAGTTCTAAGCTGTACTTGCACACCACACATCTGCTGGAGAGCAGGGTGCCGAGCAAAAATGGTTCTCTCTAGAGCCAATGAAATTCAATTAGTAGAGACAGTAGATGATGTGACTCGTGCTCAGTGCTTAAGCAAGCTTGGATTTATTCATGTCCGAGAGGGGTTGGATATCAAGGGCTTTGAATATCTAAACCAGGCTCTAACACTGCGTCGCAAGCGCTGGAAGCAATCAGAGGAAGATATGGACAAAGTCATGATTGGTGCTTGTCAGAATGATATAGCAGGTTTAGTACAAGCTCACTTTCTTATTTAAAGAAGAGTTGGCCCAATAATGATAATAACAATGGTCCGTCACTCAACAAATTGGCCCTCTTCCAATGTATAGCTCAGTTGGTACAGCACTGCCATATGGTGGCCCGCTAACGCTATAGCAATTTTGCACTCTTTTGGTGAAATTTAAAAAAAAGAAGACAAAAATAATCAAAAGAATACAAATTAAAAAGAAAAAGTAAAGGAAAATAGAATGGAAAGTGTCAAAATTTCACCAAAAAAGTGCAAAATTGCTATGGCGTTAGCGGGCCACCATACTGCTGCGCTAAGGCAGAGGCCATGGGTTCGAATCCCGCTGAACTATCAAAATTTTTTTCGAGTTGATTTGCAATTGCTTAAATTAAATTGCAATTACGACTACGACGATCACATCTCAGTGGCGGATCCAGACCTTCAGATAAGGGGGGGGGGCCCCGGTCTCCAAAAATTTTTTTTTCGGCCCTTCGGACCTCAGTTTGGTCTAGATCCGCCACTGCATCTTCATTTAAGTCTTTTACTTGTGTTAGTTTACGTAACTATTTAGTCACATTCCCACCCCCCCGAACCACGTCCCATGTGCCACCATATGAAACGGCGTCATCAATTTGAAAGACTTAGGAAACTTTAACACCCAACTTGTATGGGTGACAAAGACCTTTCACGATCAACTGACCACTATGAGTCAAACAGGGCAGAGAAAAAATGCAACAAATCATGTAACCCCCACTACAAAATGTGGATAAAATTTGGTTCCACTACCCAACTGTATCTCTTTGAAAATTTAACCGTGCCCCTCGGCGTTTTTGCAAAAACCTTTACCACCGAAATGAAGCCTAGAAAACGCCAAGCGAAAAAAGCAAGGAGGACCTGGCAGAAGGCTAATTATTTTCCCTTATCTACTGAAATACCCAAACTTTATTGTAATTTGGTTTCAGGAACAAAAGCTATCCAATCTCTCGACTTCTTGATAAAACTTCTCGACTTTGACGTTGTTTTGGCCAGATCATAGGCGACCAATAAACGGCTCAAATACCATAAAACGGCGCTTTTTCGGCAAAATCTCAAGGGGTTCCTTTGCTCTCGTACCCAAGAATCGGGAAGTCAATTTGAAGGACGATTGGGGTATTAATAACAGATTTTGATCGGAATTTTCCGTTCAACGTTGTAGGGTTTTTTTTACGTTTCCCTCTGGCTTCTTTGACTAAATCAGTGCTTGTTCGGGTTAACAGCCTAAAAATTTAATTAACTATGTAAGTAAATTAGCCTTGGATTTATTATTTATCTCTATTACTCTAAAACCGAAAGACGTAATCTTAAAGCATATAGTACGTTTAATGGAAACTTCAAATTCAGTGTATGCCAGTAGTAAATTTACTTTCCTTCCTTCGTATAGCTTCCCTTATGATACAACGGAAGCATTTCGCAGCTATTGAAACCAGACGAAATGTTGTTTTACCATTATATGAGTCTATCCTTGGCAAAGAACACCCCTTTGTGGCAACAACCTTGAGTTGGATTGGCAAAAGTTACCACGAACTGGGCGAGTATGACAACGCCATTAAATATGCCACATTGGCGCTGAATATCCGGCAAACTCTGTTAGGACGCCATCAGGAGACAGCGAGATCGCACTATGACTTGGGTGTGGCTCTTTCTGCGAAAAAGGACAGCGAACGGTACGCATGCTAGAAAAAACACCTTCAGTAGGATGTGTTAAACAATTAATAAGCACAGGGGGGTACTCCGGATTTTTAAGTGACGGGGATGATCGAATGGGGGTAAAAATCAAAAGTCAACCAAAGTACCTAGGGTTTCCAACAAAACCGAAAAAATCCCTGGACTAAAAAGTAACCCTCCCCCCCCCCCCAAGAAGAAAATATCCCATGCCGAATTTTCGAAACTCGAGACCCCCAAGAACATTTTATGTTTCATCAATAACATTATGCAGAGTGACATCAGATTTTTTTGAATACGCAAAAAAAATCCCGACGTAAATCAACCCCCCCCCCTCCAAAAAAAATAATAGTTGCCAAGTTTTCCTACCCAAACAAATCCCGGAATCAAGAATTTCAAACCCCAAAAAATCCTTCCATCATCCCCGTCACCTAAAATCCGGAGTACCCACCTGGGTGAAAACAGTTGTCATCTGAAAGTGTAAAAGCATACGCGATTATTCTGAAACGAAGTCTAGGATTATCATTGAATCTGACTACGTATATTCCACAGCGCTAGGACTGAAATTTGGTTAGTAAGGGTGGGTTCGCTTTGTTGCTTTTTAAAGTCAGTCATCCTCGAATCATCTGTAAGCGACCCAAGTGTCTTCATAAAGGCTTCTGTATCACATCAGTATAATACAAAGGACTGATTTAGGATCTAAAGAGTAGTATAGTAGGGATTAAATTATCCGTTTTTTGCGTAGGAATCTCATTAACTTGCGCAGGAATATATTAACATCGATGACGGCATAGCCTTTTGTCTTTATTTGACTTAATCACACGAATAACATGCGGTGGATTCTCGTCATTTTCACTTTTGCGTATTCCTAATACGCCTAGGCTTGCCCGAACCGGAAGTAGTATGAATAGATTTATGGAAGGAATACGCTAACTCGCCTGTGACTTTAAATCACTGAGTCGAAACGTAATTATGCTGCTGTTTTATTGTCCAAAAATGGTTAAATTTCCGATTTACTGATGTTTGGGGCTCAAATCCTGCATATTTAATTGAGGACGAAGTCAAGCTAGCTTTTTCTACCACCACCAAAGACAATTTTCCTACATTTTCCTCCTCTTTTTTTTTTTGTTCTCTACATTTCAATTGTTTTTCTTCCTTCACCACCACCACATATTTATTGTTTTTCCTCCTGTTCCACCTACACATTATCGAACCCACATCGACCCTCCATCGCACCGCATTTTATTCATGAGCTAAAGACAAAAGGCTATGACGTTATCAGTGTTAATGTATTCCTGCGCAGGTTAATGAGATTCTAGGGCAAAAAAACGGATTATTTTATCCCTACCATACTCGTAAGGATCGCCATCTGACAGAGGAGAGTTGATTTCTACAATCTCGATATGGGGTGGACAGTTAAGGGGCGGTCGTTTATTACCTGTGACCGGTGGGACGGCTATTTGAGAAAGCTTGAAGATTTTGAAACCGACCCCCAAATTCATCCTAGCTTTTGAGAAATGACCCCCCATAAAATTCAACTTTTGTGAAAGTTCCCCCATCCGATTGTTTTGGAAATAGCCTGTGTACAGACTCCCCCACCGATTTCTTCTGGGGGGAGTGGAGGTGGTCTGTACACAGGCTACAGTGGAAACCACGAATATTCCAGCTACAAATCGCGTAGCCTGCAGAAAAGATGTTATTTTTCACGTTTTCCAGGGAAGGTAAATAAAAAAAATAAAACGAAAAAATGACGCCTTTTCTGCAGGCTACAAATGTTGCCGATGTTTACCACGTACGTTACCTACAGTCGTGTTTCTAAGATCAACGTTTACTATTTACGGATGTTACATTCAATTTCAGTTTACGCTAGTAAATGCTTTGTACTACTTTCATGAAATCTATTAAAATGATCGCCCAGGTAACGCTCCTTTATCTGAAAATAAGCGCCCTCCCCGAAAAAAATCAAGATTTTGAAAATCACCTCCAGTAAAATGACCGGCTCCCCATCACAGATAAAACAAAAATGACCAGCCTCTTAGAGCAGTCTACTTCAAGCCCGTGCGGCTCACATGGCGGATGAAGCTTTTTAAGGCGAGAAGCTCGTTTTACCCCGTAGTTGAGTTTTGTCTTATGTGAAACTTACTTGAATATTAATTGCCCCTTAAACTAGACTAAATATTAAGCTCTTCGTTCTTGATAGTTGCAACCTTTATGTAATGGAGGGCAATGAAAACAAGGTTGTAAAATGTAGTTCATAGCAACTAAATTCCACTTCCCCGGCTTGTCTTTTGCAAATGTCCAAATGAAAGAGGTGCGCGTTATAAGGCCTTTGATTTCATTACTGCTTATGTCTGATTCTGTGACCAATTTTCAGGGCTCTCGAACACCTTCAACACGCGATTGAATTACAAGAAGAAGTGTTGGACACCCACGAAGAACTAATACTTAGTCACCAAGAGAAAGCTGTTGTCCTGAAGGATCTGGGGAACAAAGAGGAGGCGGACAGGGAAATGGAACGAGCTGGCGAGTGTGCCAAAAGGCTGGATATATTAGAAGTACCGCTGCAGACTTTATGCATCCATGAAGAAGAGGGATGGCAGAAGACTGATCCTGTGCCTATTGGTAGCACGTGAAGAGAAATGTAAATGAAAACATTCTTAGAAAAAATCTTAAGGCCTGTTTACATGGAGGTGAGGGACACCTGGTAGGTGGGGTAACCTGCTTTGGTGGGGGTAAAAAAATAACCCTCCTTTACATGTAATCCTACAATCCCGCCATCTCGGGGTACGTAAACAAGAAAAATGAGAGCAAACCACTTGTTTTGGCGATTAATGCTCTTCCACAGTCACTTGCTGCTCTTGCTGCAACCTGTGGCTTTATATTGTTACCTTTAATATATAGATTTAGCCAGGGCTAAAAGCGAAGCTCCAATTTTAATAAATTTATAATTTAAATCAAACAATTAACTTTTAATCCACAAATCATTTGACTTAAGGGCACATTCAGGTGACTTTTGAGGGAAAGGTTAAGTTATTTTAGAGTGAAACATCTTACATCGAATTGATAACCTTATAAAACGTACACCCAAAAAATAGCAAACATCTTCGATCACATTCAAGATCACAGTAGATTAGGCCTCGAAAACAAATTCTTGGAAAACAAATCACGCCAAATTTTTTTGCGTTCGACAGGTTTACTTTACAAATTCTTGCCAACAAATCTGGGGGTGTTTAAACCAACCTTTTATAATTTTTATACACTACATTTGAGGTGAAACAGTAGTATTTATCATACAGAGCTTGGACAGAATGCCACAATTTTGCAAGACAAATTGCACTCAGTCAATATTCAGGACGAGCCAAACCGTACAAAAATTTCAGAAAATTTCCAAAATCACCCATACGGCCAGCTGTTCTCTTTTCTATAGTGCGAGCTGTCAGTGTGGTCGAGTGTTTGAATGAACTTTAACAGAGTTACGCTTCAACATAATAGCGAATTTATTATTATTTGTTTTGTTATTTAATGGTTTCAGTTATAACGATGTGTAATCTTATAAAGCGTTTGATACGCGCGACATTTTTGAGTACTCCTGCAAGCGATGGTCATGAACGATGAAAACAAACGGCACGGACAAGCGATTAAAATTGCACGAGAGACTACTAACAATCAAAAAAAGAGATATAATTCCGTGAAACATTTACAGAGACAACAATTTCATTCAGGAAGACAAGTATTAAAGTGTCTCTAAAAATCCTGAGTCTTTAAGCGTAAAGCTTAAGTTTATGTTTTAGCCGGTTTCCCGGCGCGGTGTTTACTGTTTTCGAAGGTGAACTCCTCGAAGCAAGAAAATTCTTTCTACAGCCAAATTTATAACTAAATATTCTTCGGAACGTTTTCTTTCTATTTGTGGTGAGCAAATATATCTGAAGGTTTTTTAAAATTCTGTAAGTTTATATCAAACCTGATACTAGGTCAGATCATTGACTCAAATCCTACAAACGTGTATAAACTTGCCGAATAAACTGTCAGCGTGAACTGTGCAAGACTTCATGAAATACAAACAGCAAATACAGTAATTACTTAGGCTTACCATTCGAGATTCAGTTCCTGAAAGCTATCAAGGGAGGCCACAGTTGCTTGAGACTTTTAAACCCTCTTACGCATTAAGCAAGGTGAAAAACGAAAACGACGCATTTCTCAACCAAAACCCAGTAAACAAACCAGCCATGAATAACAGAAGACTCTTGATAACAGCTGTATTTCATTTTGTACATCCAGACGGAAAAGACAGTTAAAAACATCACAAGTTGACACAAAAACTGCATAATTTTTCTGCATGAACTAGCCTGTCAAATTTTGACCAATCAGAGTATAAAAATTGGATGTAGAGCGTGACCAACGCTTGCCATGGTAAGATAAGGTCTTCCCCGCCTGTACTTTTAAAAAAACTGGATGAATTTTCGCTTCCGAGGTCAGTTTGAAATCAAAATCCTAATAGTGCGGGGCCTTAGTGACATAAAAACAACATATTTGATATGAATCCTTGGAAAAAATAAACTTGAGGCTGCGATCATTTGAAACTGGTAATTTGTCAGCGGCTAACTTTAAAAAATACTCGACCTCGATGGGTCGACACTTGAGCCCGCGGTACGGTCAGGTGATACTGGTCAGGGGATGCCCTGTTTTGATAGCTGTCAATTGATCACAACAATGATGTGCAGCCTGTGCAATTAGTTTTCTCTTGGGCTCCCAAACTAGCTAAAAGTGTGAGAGTAAACATTGGTTATCCTGTGGTGCGGACGGACGGTCGGCGGTCGGTGTACGGTCACGTGATTACCAAATTTTATGGGATGGGTAGATTTACTTAGCAATGGGGCTCCGCCCACGCGCGCGCTTCGCGCATGCGTGGAGCTCCGCTAATAATGGCGTAAGGCCATCGCCAAAGTGAATTTTGGGCGAATTTGCAGCATCATGAATACTATCCCGGGTAGGCGGGTTACCCCACCGTGAAACGTTTGCATGGCAAAATTTGTTCCCGGCTGAGAGGGTTTCGCGACCAGGCTACCCACCTTGGCAAGTCACCCCACCTAACATGTAAACGTTATCAAATTAAAACGAGAGATTATATGGACAAGCGGGTTACGCCACCTAAGTGGGTTACCTCACCTACCTGGGGTCCCCCACCTCCATGTAAACAGGCCCTTATTGGTGTTTAAAAGAAAGTCTTACAGATAGCACGTGAAGAGAAATATGACGAACATCATACTGGTGCACGTGTAGAGAAATATTAAGAACATTCTAAGAGAAACTTTTTTGTCTATCAGTGGTACCATAAATTAAGCCCTTCTTGTTGGTTATTTCAATCCATTATATTCCATTTATTCCTACACGCCGATCACAGAATGATGAACTGTTTGTTAAATTGGTTCACACCACTCAATGCAGCATTCGTTCTTACCGTTGCAATGGTACCAAACTTTGCAATTCATTACATGTATCCAACTGATGTCAATGGAATCAAGCCCGTTTCTAGATTTCGTCAAAATATCAACAATTCTATGATTGACGATTATAATGCAAATATTAATTCCTGAGGTTTGAATGATTATATATCTTATATTCTACTCTTTAGTTTGTGAAGTAATGCTTTTTATGTAAAACAGCTATATTAACCCTTCTGCTCGTATTCTTGTGTTGGATCACCTGTTCTGTTAGTTCTGTGAACTATTTAGGTGTCCCAAACTCTACACAATCAACCGAAAACTGTAATTATAATTTTGTTTCCTTTTCACATTTGTTGTTCCTAAATTTAAAAGTATTGAATTTTAAGTATGAAAACATTCTAAAGGAAAACGTAATTCTATAAGGTTTCCCTTGTAAAGCGACAAATATTCTTAAAGCCAAGGAAAGAAAAGCTTCGTTAGTTACAAAGAGAGAAACGGAATTAAACGTTTTTTTCTATATGACTGTCACTGTTATTAGCTTGTTTTCCCCATAGGCTTATACTTTAAAATTACTTTGTGCTGCTTGGCATAGAACTTGGGCCACGCTTGTTTCAACCTTATTCCAAACTTCATCTGCGTTCAGTCGAAGAAAGCCTTGCTTTATATTATATTTTCAATGTGCATTAACAAACTTTGATTTATTCTCGAACTCCCGTTTTCTTATTTCCTTCTCCCTGGTCTTCGTTTTGATTTGTTGTTTGATCCTGTGTCCATTTTCTCATCCACGGCATTTAACTGCGATATTGTCTATTTTTCTTCATCGCCGGCCCGTAAATCCTTGTTTTATTTTAGCAGCGTAAGTTTGTTGACAGGAGGGACCCCTGCTAGATAGACATCCGGTACGGGCACCCCTATTATCCCAGGCAGCATGTAAGGCTGTAGCCAACCAACCAGCGGTGTTCGTCCACAGATGTAATGTGTTCTCTTGTGAAAGAAGAGAACGCCATGCATCCACCTTGAAAATTATCAAAATGAACTGTGTTGACATAATGTTACATTTGAGTTAAGTGGGCGTTCAATACCACTGCATGATTAAGAAAGGGAGCTTAAGCAACTACAGCGGCGACGGCTGCGAAAACGTCACTAAAAAGTGAATTGGCGCTGCCTCAGACTTTAAAGCGCTTATTCCATCTCGTTCAACTTGCACAATTTGTCAAAAGTTGGCAAAATTTTCTGGACTTGAATTCTAAAGGACTGTGTCAAATTACAGAAAAAGAAGAAGAAAGTCGTTGTCTTCTGGTCACGTCCTCTTCAAGAGTGGGTGGAATTTAGAGAAATTATCAGGGCTTTCGGTTCCCTGGGACAATGAAAACTGTCCTTAGTAATGAGGTGTCCGTATTAAGCGGTTTCCGTCCGTAAAGCGGGGTTCGGCTGTACTTTTTTAGGGCATAATTCCCGAGATTATTATTATTATTACTATTGATTGTTTATTACAAGCCAATGACGCCAATAAGAAAGTCTGGTCTATGGCTTATTAAGTAACTGATTTTAAATCTGGATGGCCCAGACGATGGGTTCAGACTTCAAAAAAGAAGGTTATACCTTCTTTAGAATGTTCTTTTCACAGTTAAATTTCGCTCATATTGGTATTAAATTTTGATACAGCAGGAAATGGACAAGAAAACCTACCCAGAACAGAGTGCCTTACAGGTATGAAAGAAGAATTAAACAAAAGATTATATTCCGCGTTCCTGTTAAGTTTGTCGCTCTGATAAAAAGTTACAGCTAATTTAAGACAACCTTAATCCTGTTATAAACGGTTGTTTGATCCACATGAAGGATTATGGAGTTTAGGAGGGTGTTGGCCGAAGCCGAAGGTTGAGTTGGATTTGGATGATAACCTCGTGTCAATAACTGTTTTTATTATTTCTTCTAAAACGTTTCTTATTTCATTCGTTCATAACATTTGCCAGTTCGGCAGTTTTAATATAAAAACTTTCGTTTTTTAGTAGTTATTCCTCAAAAACAAAGTTAAGAATTTTCCAATTCAGTGCATGTGGCTTCTGTGTAATGATGCTATCTTTTTTCATTCAGTTGGCATTAAGCATTTGAAATCTGTCAGCTAGTTTTGTTTAGTTTAGGCTCTGCGCATCTGCGCTGCCAAAGCCACCACTTTCCGTTGAATGACGTCATTCACCAATAATTTTTGTATTTGTGGATCATTTCATAGCAAAAACTTATCGGTGAATTACGTATTAAACGGTTTCCCAATTTGTTCCGCGTTTGCTCGTCAAATCACAAACGGAGAAGTATTTTGAGTGAATGTTAATGGTTGGTGTTTAAAAGAGGAGAAATCTGTTATTATATATCGTTAGCCAACTTTGCTAGGTAAAATTGTCACCGTTAGGTTAAATAGCACTATTGACATCAGCAGCAGCTAGCTTAGCAGTCGTATCCCTTAAGGCAAGCGGGAGAAAAGAGACACGTTTTGCTCCTTTTTGCCCAATGCCCTCGCGCGTCTTTCGTGCAGTGCCATACGATCGACTGCTACGCAGACTATATCAATACATCATCTATTTTTAGTCACTTAAGAGCTCTGGCAATATCGTTTTTCGTTAATTTACCGTTTAGTTTTTTGCATGTAAAGGAAATCTTGATAAATTGCGTCAGACTACACAGCAACGATACATAATTTGTTTTACAGGCGCTTGTAGAGGTTTGTCCAATCTTCCGCGTCCTAGTCGAAAGTTTGTCAATCGCAATCAAGAAATTGAAGACATTAAGAAACATCTTCTCCCACACCCAGAAAACGACTGCAGTTGTGTCTTAGTACATGGAGCTGTTGGGATGGGAAAAACAGCCACTGCCATTAAAGCGGCAAATGAGATTCGAGATAATGACGATAACACTGCTGTCGTCTACATCAACTGCAATGTTGTCAATTCATGTGATGATCTTGCGGTGAAGATTTCCCAGCAAATCTATGATTTTCCTTTGAATGAGTTCACTGCGGAAATTAAAAGGAGGCTAATAAGTGAGAAAGATCTCCTCATCATATTGCTGCTGGACAAGTTTCAATCCTTGGACCCCCTGCATCGCAATGAGGAAGCTAACATGAATCCGGAGATAACTAGGATTGACCAAACAGAAGAGTTAAAAGTTAAAAAGTTCATCACAGAAATCATCACAGCCTCGACTAAAGTCAAGCTGCTCGTTACCTCATCAGTGTGGGCGTGTTTTCCAGAAACATGTCAACAGACAGTAAGGCTGGATCCGTTAGAGGAGAGTGCATCATTTGAGCTTCTGAAGAACACCTTTAACCGTCAGCTGGACGTAGAAATTGCTTACAAAATAGCCGGATTTTGTGATGGTATTCCGCTCGCCCTTATTTCCTTGGCAAGACCATCCACCCGATCTTGTGGAAATGATGACCAACGCCAACCCAGAGGAAAAATACAAGAAATTCATACCAATTCCTAAAACTGATACAAGTAAAAAAATAGACGTGTGCCTTGACGCTTGCTTTTACAGACTTGACCAGGATCTACGAAACACTGTTATTTGTCTTTCGTTGTTTAAAGGACATTTTACCATGTCAACAGCTCAAGGAGTCTTCCGTTCAGAGGGGCTAAAACGCCGCATTTTGGAACTGGCTAATCGATCTTTCTTAGAAAAGAACATATTAGGTCCTACAGCTCCGTGCTGGTACAGCCTCCTCGGAGTCCAAAAACTCTACTGCCAAAACAAGGCCCAAGAAAAAGGTGCAAAACAAGTATACGAGAACGGCCGAAAGAGTTTTATCGACTACTTTCTCTCTCTCCTTGAAGAGATTTTCAAGAAGTTCCTGAGCAAAGATGCTTTTGAAGCTTGCGCTACATTTCGTCAGGAAGTGGAAAATATCATGCAGCTTCTCGACTGGTTCAAGAGTGGCGTCATGGACGAAGAACGAAACCCTCAAGTGTATTGATGTGTTCAACAAAGCAGCCGAGCTACTTGCAAAGATGATGGGGGAAAAGCGATTTGATGCGGTTTTTAATCTGCTGAAAGACAAGTGCCAACAGTTGCAAGATAAAGAAAGACTGAGTGATTGTCTTACTTCACTTGGGATCAAAAAGGCATTCAGTTGTTTCTTTTCCCCTCATTTGTCTGTTGAAGCTAGGAAGATAGCCAAAGAGTACTTTATGGAAGCCGATAGAATCCAGAGCGACCTTCCAATTGATACCGGTAACAGCAGAGCCCAATGCCTTGCCAAATATGGCCGTTGTGTCTCCATCATAGACGGCAAATTTGCTGAAGGAAAGGAGATGATTCAAAAAGCAATCGATATTCGCAAGACGCATGGAGAAGAGGATAGAGTCATGTTAGGTGCAACATACAACGACTTGGCAGGTAAGGCCCCATTTATATGGACAAAACCTTTCTCGGGTGGAAGGCTTATCCTCCCAGCCGAGTCAACTTTAGCGAGCGTTTATATGGGAAAAAGGTTGACCCCTTTGCTTTAACTCTCACATGCTGTGATTGTCTTATCTTGACCGAGTTGATCCGTATGGGCGAGCCAAAGTCAGTGTTCGGAAGAAACGTTGCATGGCCCGGCTAGGAGGGTGACCTTACCATCACAAAAGGGTGACCCTTCTCGTGGAGCAAACGTTTTGTTTCTCGTGTACACGGCTCGCCACGTTTTGTAAGGAAATGTCTGATAAGTTGGCTCGCACAGGGTAGCCCCTGTATGTGGATGAACCTTCTACCAGGGGCAACGTTTCTTCCAACGTTTCGTTGTTCTTTGAACTGAAGCTTTATCCTAGTTTGATTTTCCATTTGCTTTGTCTCCTAGCTTAAAAGCCACTTAGGCCTGAATTTCATTTTAACCTTTTACAGATGCAAACCGGTTAAATATTTTTATTATCTTAATGTTGATCATGTGATAAGATCTGATAATGTGCTACGTTGGATTTAAGAGCAAACATTTTTAAGAACATTAAATCATTAAATCCAGCGACGAGACTGTAATTTTCTTCTGTGTTCTAGTTGTCCTCTCCCTGGAATCGGCATATCATCAACGAGAATGTCGACAAGAAATAGCCACTGAACTCCTCGAAGAAGCAGTAAATTGGAGAACACGTGAAACGCTTGAAATATACAGAGTAAAGCTGGGCGACCATCCTTTTACAGCTACCATTCTAAACAACCTGTCAAAAAACTACCGTTCTCTTGGAATGCTTGAAGATGCTAAAAAATGTTCTGTTGAAGGTCTGAAAATTAGGAGGGAGTTCTTGGGGGAGCACATGAAAACTGCGTTGTCCCTATATGAGGTTGCATTGGTTCTTAAAGAAAACAATGAGTTACAGGCCGCGAAAACTAACCTGCAGGAGTGTTTAGCTATGCAGGAGAAGGTGCTGGATGAGGAAAACAAGGATCTCGAAAGGTAAGCAGGAGTGAGCGTTATTGACTCTACTACTGATGCGAGCAAACGCGGGGTGGAGGACAGAAGGAAGCTTACACTCCCTCCCTCCGCCCCACCATGCACTAGTCGAAACCTGCGAGCAGGGATGACTCATCCATTTCGCCCCATTCCGTTAGATGTTTGTGTGCTAATAAGCTTATTCAAGTCAGCGGTTGCTGTGAGTAATTCCCCGTTGTAAATAATATGCAGCTATAAAAATGGTCACAAAACACGTTACGTTGATACAAATGAATGTATTAGTAAGCAGAACCTGCTTTCATTGGTAGATCCACCTGGAGATTTTTCGAAGGGAAAGTGGCTCTTATCAGTTGGTCACCAAATTTTTTATCAATCAAGATGAATTTTCTTATGACAAGTCCCGCAAAGGCCGGACTAGATCGAAGATTTAACACTGTAATCTTCTAGCGGAAGAGACAAAATAGAAAGATCCATAACAGAAAACTTCACAACTCCTAACCGTTCCTTCAAAACAAAGATCAGTGAAACGCTTCATCGCCACTGACCCCAAAAAGCAAATCAAAATGACAGAGACAGTAAATTAAGGGTTTTGTAGTGGAAAAAACTCACAAGGATTTCTGGCACGCACGTTTTAGCGCTGTTTTAGACTGATAATAGGCCCCTTGCAGCTAGCCATTCACGTGGTAGAAAACCGCCATGCTGGAGAGCAAAAGTCGCTCTGGGACGAGACAAACAAAGGAAATTATCATTTAAAATTATGTATGCTTTTTCTTTGTCTTGTCCCAGTGCGACTTTTGCTCTCTAGCTCGGCGATTTTGTACCGCGTGAATGGTTAGCTGCAAAGGGGCTACTGTTTCTGTCTACTGGTACAGGTAGGCGAATATGTTTGATACATAGTTAACGTTATGATATATAGATTTAGCCAAGGCCAAAAGTCTTTCTCAAGTAATTCATTGTAATTCAACCTTTGCCGTAAGAAAAAAGCAAACTGAATTCCACCTTTAAAAAATGGACTTGAGCCCGCGATGAATTGAAAACCAAAAAACTGGTTAGAACCAAAAAATACGTCATGTTAATGTAGACATATTAAATTCTGCAAGCAGAATACTGCAATGCTGATCGTACTACTTGAAAATTAACTCTGCAAGACATCAACACGACACCGAAAGAACGCCACAGACAGCTGTTTCGCCCTCTTTGGGGCTCGTCAGTTCTTCGGCATATTCAATTGCGGTCCTTTGCAGTCCCTTGTGGTTAATGTTTGTACGTCATGTTAATGAGTTGTATACCTGAGCCCGCGTTGCAGTCATGTGACATTGGTCAGCGGATAGTCTTCCTTGACAGGTGTCAATTGATCATAACATGGAGTTCCAATTCCAAGTTAGAAACAGATAGTATATTCCTCGGACTCCCAGCTAGTAAGTTTGCCATTTCACATCCGCTAACATCAAGGGGTGGACGTACGTACGGACGATTTTGTATTGTAGCCTGCGAGCAAGCTCTCTAGGCGCTCTGGCGGTGGGGCGGGAAAAGGAAGGATCGAGAGCTTGCAACTACGTGTCTCTGGAATTTGAATTCCATCTCCTCCGTCGACTAAGCTTTCAGATTTCTGCCAATCAGCAAGAAGCGAAAAAGAGCGCGAAGGCAAACAAACATTAAAAAACACGTGCCAAGGGTAATGACATCATTACTAACGTCATCTCCGCCAATCAGCATTTCGCATCGACTTTTATTTTCAATGCAGACATTCAAATTCCAGAGACGTAGTTGCAAGCTCTCCTTCCTTTTCCCGCCCCGCCGCCAGAGCGCCCTTGAGAGCTTGCTCACAAGCTAAGGATTTTGTTGAACCAAAATTCCTTGGATGCATAGATAGCCAAATTTTCTCACCCATGGTGCTCCGCTGCGAGCGCTTCGCGCGCACGAGTGCTCTGCTATAACAGCCAGATATGATAAGGGCATCATTTGTATACCCAGTAGCTTAGCCGTTTCTCTGGGTAAGAGACGGTCAGCCCGCTTTTACCGGGGCTACATTTACTGATAATTTATCCCAACCCGATCACGGAAACAGTCTATCTTAAAGTCTCGTGATACAAATTGCCCTTCTAGAGTAATTGCATTTATTTCTGCCTTTATTTATCATCTAATTTAGTGGTTACATGAAGCTCGTTCTAAAGGGGGTAGCCACCCAGTTCATCCCACCGCCTTTTTATATTTATTATCTTATACATAAATTTCCAACTCTAGCAATTGTCCATGATAGACAGACAAGATATAGAGATAGCCTCAATATTCCATCTTGTAGCATCAATGCTGGCCAACGCGCTTTTTATTGCCGTGGTGTGAAAATATGAAATAATTAAGTAAAGACTTCAGGGATTTCATAAATACTCAAGTTTTTAAGAGACGTCTAATTACTGAACTGATTTGTAACATTAACTAGGTTAGATGCTGAATTTTGTACAAAGTCACTATTTAGTTATTGCACATAGTTTTTTTAAATTAATTAATTAAATAATTTATTCATTCATTCATTTATTTTTTTTAATTATTTTATTTTTATATTGATGCTGAAAAGCTCTTTTTAGGGATGCTTAATAAAGTGTATGTATGATGTGGATCAGATTAGTTATCTGGGCAACCGAGCTCGATACGAGTTTATCGAGCTCGATATGTCAACCGGCCTCGATTTGTCGATATCGAGCTCGAGGCCTCTCACTTTTCCGGGGGGACAAAGTAAAAATGGTTATCGAGCTCGATGACTTATCGAGCTCGGTGACCTATCGAGCTCGGTGACTTATCGAGCTCGGTTTTTCAAGAGAAGAAAAAAAGGGAAAAGGATTTTGTTGATACACCAACATGGCCTCCGTTTCATTGTTTTGAAACATCAACATGGCCGCCAGACGTCATGTGAAAACGCTCAAAATTTCAAGTGCACCAAAACGAGGTTGCGTTTAGAAAAACTTGGAAACTTGGATAAACTGGGCGAGGATTTCAAGTAGTTCTGTAAATGGTTCAAAAAAAATTGCCAAATGATATTAAGGGCGGCTGTCTGTAATTATCGATAATTCGCCCGTCGAAACTGAAATTTCGAAATTCTTCATATTCAGTCTGAAAACACCCTTTGGAGAAAAATTTTTGAGCATCACAATCGAAGTTTCCAAAGAATTTTCTTTTTCGTGAAAACCGGCCAAAAGTGAAATGCTGCGTTCAAGCCATAGCTGCCTTTTATCAACAGCCAAAAATTATACCAATTATAAAGCCCTCGGTAAGAAAAGGTACCTAGTTTGATCGACAGTTAAAGATGGATACTCACATTAATAACATTTGTAAAGCCGCTTTTTTTCTGTTTATATGACATAAACAGAATTAGAAAGTTTCTCAGTCTTGATTGAACTTATATTTTGGTCAATGAGCTTGTAACGAGTCGTCTTGATTATTGTAATAACCTCGTGTATGGCTTGCCTAACAACCTGCTAGACAAGCTCCAACGAGTCCAGAATGCAGCTGCCAGGCTGATCTGCAATCTTGGACGCTTCGATCACATCGCTACCACCTTATTTAGCCTTCACTGGCTGCCAATTAGATACAGAATTTAATTTAAAATTTCACTTTTTACCTATAAATCCTTAAATGGACTCTCCCCTGCATATATTACAGAACTGTTAAAACTTAAAACTATTCCTCGATACAATCTAAGATCTTCTGATGACAAATTGTTACTTCATGCACCATCCCAATAGAAGAACTCTCGCTACTCTTGGCGACCGTTCATTTACCGCCGCGTCGCCAAAACTATGGAACGATCTACCTGTGGTTATCCGCCATGCCATTAATGTTGCCGCTTCTAAACGCCTCCTAAAACCCATCTATTTAGGAAAGCGTATAGCTGCTAGTAGTTTATTCCCATTTTATTGCTTAAAGGAATCTGATACCTAATTCTTCGTTTCCTTATTTTTACTGTAAACTATGATATGCAAATTCATGTACATGAAATATTCATCTTTTTAGTTCACATATTTTTTATATACTCTAATAAACACTACTAAGTTTTATTGTGATCATTCCAGTGTAATGCGCGAGTGAGCATATCTCCATGTAACACACGCACTATAAGTCATTAAATTATTATTATTATTATTATTACTATTATTATTTTGTGTTCTCCTTTTACAATAAAGTTTTCTTTTGTTTCACACAGTACCAAGAAAGAACTGGAAGAGGTGATTAATCGTCTTGAGGATATGCAGGGAAACATGATGATCGAATGAAAAGTATCGTTTCCCATGCAATTTACCAATTTGCTTTGCAAATTATGTCGGAAAATTGTCATTTTAGTGTGGAATGGTCCTCGACAGCTAACCAGTACTTGAGAAACATGTCATCTCAACAGCCATTTCAAAGCTTTGGGGGCATTCGCCACTTTAAAATATTTAAAAATATGAATGGTATTTAACCGTTTTGATTGTTATTTTGTACAAAGTTTTAGTTATTAACAATAACAATTATTTGTAATGTAAGAACCTTTCCGGAATACCTTTGTGCATGTACAGAACATCGGTTGCCAGTAGTTACTGTTAGTGAGCGCGTTTCTATAAATTTGCAGAGAAATGGTACACTTCGTTCATAAGATCACCTTCAAAGAACCCTTGAAAATAGACCGTGATGGTAACTTTGTAAATATAAATCTGGTACCCGTCCCAGTTGTTCAGAACTGAGGTGAAAAGCCCCAAAAAGGGCATTGGATAAATCACTTTCCGGTGGTTAGCAAAATCAATTTCCCTCATAGTAATCCTGTGTTTGTACCATCTGCATAATATTGGGCGTATTAAAAGATTTCTTAGCTTTGAAGATAGAACTAAAGTCGATTGTTCAGAATAGACTATTGCAATAGCCTATCATGATTGTTGCCGCTACGGACCTTAGCAAGCTCCAACGGGTGCAAAACGCGTCAGTCCGATTGATGTGCTCATTGCCAAGACATGAGCACGTCACATCGTCATTTATACG